CCGCCCGATCACGCCGCGCCTACCTGGCCGGGCCCTGACATCGCTCCGCGGTCGCGAGGCGCGGCGCCGGGACTCCGCCGAGCTGCGGGTACCCCAGCGCTCGCACTCGGGTGGACTCCGGCCCGCCCCGCAGACACTGCCGAAGGGCCGGCCCCGGCCCCGCCCTGCCTGCTTCTCATTGGCTCTCACCCCCACCCCCGCCCTCTTGACACGGCCAGGCCCCGCCTACCCGCGCTGCATTGGCTAACGCTGCCGTCCCTCACGCCCCGCCTGCCCGCGGCGCCGCCCGGGACCGCGTGAGGAGAGCCTCCGGCGTCGAGGCCACTCCCTGGCCGGAGCCTCGCCCCCGGCTGTGGTCGCCGCCAAGCTGCGGTCCCAGCAGGCCGGAGACCGGGGCCGCGGCTGTGCGCCCCGGGCCTCGAGCTAGAGCTCCCAGGACTCGCGGTGCCCGCGGTCAGACCGGCCCCGCACGACGGACCTGAGCTCTGCGTGACGTTTGACGCTTCCCGGCCGCCGAGAGGAAAGCCTGGTTTAATGAAGGCATCCAGCTGGCACCCCTTTGGAAGGCACTGGGACTGTCGCCTGCCACCGTGCTCAGCAGGCCTGTGCGTTTGCATGTCGGGCAGCAGCGCCGTCTTCTTCTGGCCGAGCTCATACGGTTCGAAGCTGAGTCGCAGGGAGATGCAAACTGGAGACCTCAGAGCCGAGCCGCCCCGATACCCGCTGCCAGCGCCCAAGGGGGCCGCCACGCCTGGCTGAGACAGTCGGCATCCGAACTCGCCTGCAACACCCTCTTGCTCCTGGCGCTGTGCCTGCTGCAAGCTTAGCCCAGTTTCAGTAAGCCGCGAGACAGGAATGAGTGGAGCCTGTTTCCCAGGCGCTGGCGCGCCGACCCCGCGCCCCATTCCACCCACCACCCCGCCCTGCCTCACCCAGCCGGAGCCTCCGGGCCTCCCACGTCTGTTCTCATCGAGGTTCCAAAATAGAAGACTCCAAGGAAGAAGTGTTTGGTTACATTTCACGGAAGACCGTGTCACAAGCCAACTTCGGCACAACAATAAAGACGGCATATCTCAAACCGTTGTGAAACCAAGAGATGCGGACAGTGAAAACAAATTGAATTCTCTAGTGGGGCTAGAGGTGTGGCTACAGCACTTCTGAATCATGTCCCAGTGGGAAAAAAATGTGAATGGTTTGGAATAAATTTTGGAACACTAATCTTTTTTTCATTATGTTTGTGATACATAATGAATAGACTCAACTGGGGAGTTGGTACATACACATATTGCATCTTAATCTTTTTTAGTTTGCCTTCCTCACCCTTCCTCTCCTCTCCCCCACATCCGTAGGTCCTCTTCCCGTTTGCGAAAGCTCTACCTCCCTGTTTTTAGCATCTGTCTTTTATTTTGCTCTTTAAGTTATTTATACTTTAGAGTTCTCATATAAGAAAAACCATGCAATAATCAACCGGTATCTGATTTATTTCACTTAGCATTATGATCTCAAGGTGCACTTCTACCTTGTTGTCATTCGTACAGATGACTTAAATTTATCCTTTACGCATACCACATTTTCTTTACCCATTTGTTTGTTGGTGGACATACAGACCGTTTGCAAGATTTAACTATTGTGAGTTGTGCTGCTATAAAAGCAGGCGCATATGTATCACTATGATATGTCTTTACCTCTTTGGGGAAAGATACCCAGAAGGGCCAGAGGGGTATAGCTGGTAGAATGGAGCTTTTATTGTTTGTTTTTTGAGGAATCTCTACGCTGATTTCCCTGGTGGCTGTACTAGTTTACATTCCCACCAACATTTTAGAAGGGTGGAACACTGATCTTTATGAACTCCCACACCTGCTTATCTAGTATATTTAGAAAGTTTCAGCCTGGCGTGGCAGTACATGCCTGTAATCCTAACACTGAGGTAGGAGGATCACTTTGAGTTTGAGGCCAGGACTATACAGTGAGTTCAAAACTATCCTGAACTACATAGCAAGATTCTGTCTCAAAAACAAACAGAAAAGTTTTCTCAGACAATTATTCAAGATGAAATTTGGTGTTAAAATAGAGTGGTTTTGAAAAAAAAAATGTTTTGGTGTTTTTCAGGACAGGGTCTTGCTTTGTAGTTCATGCTTGCCTTGAACTCACTATGTAGCCCAGACTGGCCTCAAACTCTCAGCAACCCTCCTGCCTCAGCCTCCTAAGTGCTAGGCATATGCCACCATGCCTGGTTTGAAATTTATCATTTAAACTTTGCATTCAGGAAGATTATTTGGCAAAATGAGGCACGCTAAATTCCAAGTGTCAAATATAAAACCAAATCTGTCATGAGTTTGAGTGTAATAAATTAATTCACATTTATGTATTCTACTGCCCCCTCATGGGTATGAGGGAGATGTACATAGCGGTAGTTAATTTCCTTCTAAATTTGAGAGTAATGCTTTGTTTAGTAATTTTTTTAGTAATTTGACGACCAGGAGGCCAAAGTAAAATAAAATCAGATTCAAACAGAACTTCAACTTGAGAAACCAGGAAGAGGAATCTTACAGCAAGGCCAGTACAAACACGCCAACAGGGTCACACCTATGCTTATGACTACCTGCGTAGAACGTGGAAACATGCAGGAATGTGCTTCAAGAGTTTTTTTTTTCCACATGGAACATCATTATTTTCTGAGACATTTCATAGAATTCCCTTTTTCACATTTGTAGCCACACATTTCACAACTTTGTGTTGTGACCAGTTTGAGAGTAGAAATGAAATCTTGCTCTCTTTTTCTTTGATGTCTAGGATTATACCCACTACTTTAGATCAGTGATGGTGAAACCTTTAGAGACAAGTGCCCAAACTGCAACCCAAAACCAAAGTGCCAGCACTGCAATTAAATTTGAATTTTGAGGTTTTAGTTTAGAAAAAACAACTCAGACACTTGGCTGGTGTGCTGACAGAGAGGGCTCTGCATGCCCACGGTGGCACACGTGCCATAGGTTAGCCTTCACCGCTTTAGATATTTGACCAATAATTGCTGAATTAAATAAATTGAAAGAAATATCAGCCCAGCCACTAGGTGGCAACACAATTGTGTGTGTTGAAGTATAATCTGGCTAATTGGAATTTCACCCGACCTTGAAAAACAAGGATATCTATAAAGTTGCTTGTATATCTTACACTGGGAAACTAAAAATCCTCTTGTAGGGTGACAATCCATAAATAATTGATTTTCTATATTTGGGTATACCTGCTTTGGTTTTGACTGGGAAAACCACTATCCATTTAAACGTTATCAAATGACTTTTTAATGGCTCTAAGTGCCTTAACCAAGTTTAATTATATAAGCCAAAACCAATATTCTCCAATTTGAAGAAGTGTGTTTTTGTCTAGCCTTAATAATTGTTTTGCCTAGGCTTAATAATTGTTTTGCCTGCAAATCATGGAAACCCTATAGTCGGACAAACTCAGGACCTCGCTGCTACCCTTCAACAGTTGTATCCTTGGGCAGGTCATTAACTTTATAACTTCAGTTTACTCATGTTCCCCAAAATAGAGATAATATCTACTTTATAAAGTTGTACAAAGCATTAAATGAAATAATATCAGTGGAGTGTCTCATGTAAGCCGTGCCTTATAGTAGGTACTTAATAACTGACACTTTTTTCAAAGTCTACAATGAAAATTTCACTCATATTTTCATTTGGTTAATTTATTTTATTCTGTTGATTTAAGACCTTCAGCAATTAAATTGAGCTCGTAACACCAGGTCTCATAACGATAGGCCATGCGGATTTGGGCTACATTTGTCTTTCGGATATCATTTCCAACAGGGCCTTCCTCAAGATAATTGTCACCCAGAAACTTTACTTTTTCCTGTGAGAGAAAAAAGAGCAGAATGATGGTTATTTCTTTTCAACCCGGTGTAGACAATAATTGCATCTTCCACAAAAAGTCCTTCTCTGCAAATTTTTGCCACAGGCAAAAGGGGAGAAAGAATTTTAATGCACTCTAAAGTAATTACCTTGTTCCTCAGTATGCATGGTCTGCGAGAAGTCATTAGTATTTTATTTCCCTTCCCTCTAGGAACGGCCAAAGAGATTATAGAAAATGGTTTCTAGTCCTTGTCTATAACACAGCATACGATTCACTGGACAATTTTTATACAGGGCTTCCTCAGCTACTGTAATTCTTCAATATTCAAGTTATCCTCTGCTCCGAAGGGCAGCCAAAGACAGCCCTACCTCATGAGCGATCCCACACTGCAGAACGCTGTTCCTTGCCACTTCACACATGTCGCAGGTGCTCAGCTTGAAGACTTGTGCAGCAATGGCATACTCCTCCATCAGGGGCTCCTGCCGGGATGTATGTAGGCGACAGAAACGGAAATGAACGCATTCATTTAAAACATCGTACGCATCTAGCACAGAGAAAATGAGATTCCTTGATTTGACTTTGCAGTTCTGGGTGGGGAACAGCCGCGGAGCGCAGCACACTCGCACACAGGCCTACCTTGGTGAAGTGGAACTGCATGGGGTCATCGGTGGACAGTGAGATCATTAACCCTTTCTGCAGGAAGTCTAAAAATGGATTTTTCGCATACTCGAGAAATAGGCTGTTGTTACTCAGTGGTGACATGGCGATGGGAATCTGGGCTAAGAAATACAAGTACTGTAACACAGCACTCTGAAACAAAGTAAAAGGAAATTAGGGGCGAGGAAAGGAATAGAAACTGGAAACCTTAAAATCCCATGGTGTACATTAAAGCTTAGTTTTCAACAAGACTATCACCTATCCTTTAAATCCCCTGCTATAGAAAAATTCTAGTTTTTCAATATAAACACTATTTAGAATAAATGAATTGGGGGCCATCCATTTTACAAAGCACTGAGTCAAGTCCAATTGTTTATTTGAGCTTCAATTGTGTAGGTTTGATGACCTAACTCAGGCAATTAAAGCTGAAAAGACTTCACCCTGAAACCTATCTTTTTTTCTACATGAAAATTCTGACTCACAAGAGGCATTTTAAAGCATGCTATAACAAGAAATCTGGCAAAATCTAGCTTCAGGTCAGCCAAGCCTCCTCTGAATGATCCCTTGTAGAGTTCTAAAAGAGGACGTCAGGAGATCTGCATTAACTCATCTCTGAGAGCAACTAGTCAGGAAATCTTGAGCAACTTCTTTTGCTTTTATCTGTAGCATTAACCACACCTGTAATCCGAGCACTCTGAAGGCTGAGGCAGGAGTACTGTTGCAAGTTCAAGGCCAGCTGGACTACGTAGTGCCAGCCTGAACTACAGAGCGAGACTCTATCTCAAAAAAAGAAGAAAAATAAAAAAGAACTTTCACCCACCTTTTTCAAATTCAGACCATGAGAGATATTATCTGCTATCATGAATGCTATCATCAGGTGGGTGAGAGCTCCAGCTTCCCCACAGTGAGGTCGGAACAGAAAGGTATTCATGCCTCGTTCCCTATGGAAATGAAATCACTATAGGAATCACAGGTTCCAAGCAGAGTGGTTTACAAGAAAATTCATGGGGGATGGAGGAGGTGATAAAAAAGAGCTCAGGTGTCCCATGTACCTGTATCAATTCCTCACAATGAATGTAAGCGTGACGTACTACAAACATGTACTAATTTAAAAAAAAAAAAAAAAGGAGGAAAATTCCTTAGGAAAAGTTAATACTCTGCAAGGGAGCAGCCTTCCCCCAAATCATCTTCTCAATTCTTCCTAAAGACCAACTTTTTAAGAAAAGATGGCAGAGGATACAGGATTAAGGACACAATCTAGAACTAACTACCTGAACAGGAACATGTCCAGGCTCAAAGGAAATTTAATAGTATTACCAAGTCAGGATTTTCCCTACTTGCCCTTTGGGGGAGAAATGGATTCAGAGAACTCTATTGGAGGTTGAAGGGTGTAGTGGTACAGCCTGTGCTGAGCAGGTGTGAGGCCCTGGGTTTAATCTCCAGCACCACACACACACACACACACACACACACACACACACTTATAGCATTCCTCTATTCTGCACCCAGAAACATCAAGAAGAATAAAATATACGGAGTTTTATAATAAAACACACAGTGATAAATGTAAATTCCTAAACAGCCAATGAAAAGGAACTGTGAAAGTTATGGGAGGCACCAAATAGGCCTATTGCTGCCCCCAAGAATCTGAAGAAAAAGTTTAAGAGAGAAATTTCTGATTTGGGCCGGTTAGAAGCATCCCAGGAGTATTTCGAGGGCCTTGACTACCTACAGAGCCCGGGTGTGCGGAAGAGCTGGGTCAAGTGACTCCTTCAGCCCCAGTCTCTCGTACTTACTTTCTCAGGCAGTTGAGCACCATGATGTTTGCATACATATAGTAGGCGTAGTACGTATAGGACGGATTCTTTTCCATTGTCCACTCCTGGGGCTTGGGACTCTTGGAAGAAAACATGTGACCGCTGTGTTTGGACTCATCATCCACGCTGTCAAAGCCGGTGATCTGTCAGGAAAACAATCCATGCAATGGTTTCAGTCTAACTGCCGGGTTCTTGCCCTCAGACAAACTTCCAGCTCTCAAGCAAGGACCAAAAGTCAAGAGATAAGCACCAAGAATTAGTTATGGCCAGCTAGGGGTCTGCTCGGGAGCAGCACTATCAAGGCCCCGAGGCCCTGCTTACATGCTTGAGGAAGACACTGAGGTCTGGGTGAGCCTGGGGGTTGATGGTGGCCTCAAACACTGGCATGAAAATATTCTCCAGCATTTTCCCAAAGTGTGGAAGGAAATTCTTGGATCGGAACACATCACTAGAGGCAAGAATGAAGAGAAATTTAGGAAGAGAAGATTTTTAGGACTGATAGCTCCAGTATGAGGAAACCGAAGGACCTAATGCCATGTATAGGAATAAAGGCCTGGTATGGGGGCTAGGGATGGAGTTCAGTGGTAGAGAGCCTGGGTTCAATCCCCCACACCTAAATAAATAAATAAAACCATTAAGACCTGGTATGTTGCATGTTCACCCTACATTCTCTTTCGTATATTCTTCTGGCTTAACCACAAAGAAGGGTTCGGTTTGGGCTGGGTGGGAAGTACAAATTTCTTTCAGGACCATGTGTCTCCTCCTCTCCAAAAAACCCTCTGTGGTAGCTGGGTGTGGTGGTGCACCCCTCTAACTCCAGCACTTAGGAGGCTGAGGCAGGAGGATCGCTGTGAGTTTGAGACCAGCCTGGGCTACAAAGTGAGCTCAAGGCCAGCCTGAACTGCATAGCAAGAACCTGTCTCAAAACAGACAACAACAAAACAAAACAAAAAGCCCTCTGTGGAAAGAAAACTAAATCTTCACAGTTAAATCCAGATAGACTAGATAGAGAAGGAAGAATAGAGCAATCATGTCATTAAAAGTTCAGTGATTTATATAAAAGTATGTGGTGTACAACACGGTGAACATGAAATGGTTATCATGAACACCTCTGATGAAGATGGTGCCGTCCAGGCTGCTGTGCCCCTTCCGGCGGCTACGGCCCCACCAGGCTCCCAAGTGCCTCTGCAGCACGGTCACAGTTCTACAGTGACACCCACTGAATGACAAACCTGACTGCATGAAAGTTGGGCTGACTTTGGACACCACTGCCTTCCTTTGGTACCAGCTCATCAAACAACACAATGAAGATGTTTTAGAATAGAAAAGAATACATGGGTGGGAATAAGCTTTGGAAATACTTATATAATGTGCTCCTTGATTATAACAGATGCTCTGGATTCTCCAATTTGTTGAGTTGTGAACGGGGCAGAAGTTACATGTAAATGTAGATCAAGCCACATTTGTGCTTTGCATTATTAAAGAAATAAAAATACGTATGTACTAAAAAAAGAAGAAGAAGACCTCTGCTGGAGCTGGGCATGGGGGTGCGTGCTTGTAATTCCAGGTTCTGAACAAGAAAGCTACATTCAGCACAGATGAACATGGGAAAGCATGAACTAGATACAGAGAAGAGCTGGAGAAAGAAAGTGTCTACTAAAATGTACATAGTTCTTACTCCCTCTTAGTTCTTCTTTAGCTTCTGGTTACAAAATTAAAGCAGTCTTCTTATCTCCCGTCTGTGTCAGGAGTACTATACCGGAGTGGACAAAACCCAGCACGCAGGACCCAGTACTGAGTGCTGCTTGAACAAAGCTGGTTTCTGTCTAGATGGGCTGCACGTTCTTAGTTCACACGGAGGAGGGCAGGTGGGCGGAACAAAGGTAGGGTTCAGGGTTTCTCATGGGCAGGTACATACTAGATCCTGGGGACCTGGATCATCCACGTCATGTTGGGGCAGTAGATGCGGTTGTGGACAAACCAGGAGGAAAGTTTGTCCCACTCATCAGGACTGCGACCATAGATGGACAGGCGGGGCTCTGCGTGCTGGTACTTGGCATCCACCAGGTCTGCTCCTACCTCCTGCAAAGCCAAGAGAGCAATCCAAGATTAGGAATTCAGCCAGGAGTGGTAGTGCTTGCCTATAACCCCAGCACTTGGGAGGCTGGGGCAGGAGGATTGGAGTGAGTTCAAGGCTACCCTGGGCTACTTAGGGAGATCAAAGTTAGCCTAAACTACATGGCAGTACCCTATCTCAAAAACAAAAAACATAACAAACCAAAGCTAGGAACTTCCACAAGCTCCTATGAGGCCTAACTCTGTGGGATCTAGGAAGAAGAGGTGGGAATTAAGAATGGAGGGAATGTAAAAGGAAGTAGAAGGGAAATTTTCAAAGGCTAAAATCTGAGGGATCTGAGGGTTGAGGAGAACCCAGTGGGGGTAAACAATTCACTGAACATGATGAGGATTAGAAAACAAAAATCAGACTAAGCACTTCGGAAGCTGAGGCAGGAGGATAGCCATGGGATCGAGGCCAGCCTGGGCTACATAATGAGTCCAGGCCAGCCTGAACTGCATAGAGAACCTTGTCTCAACAAACAAAACAAAACAAAATAAAACAAAACATGGCATCTACAAAGACATTTAATGAAAAAAAAAAAATCAGATTAAAGGGCTAAGAAAGCCAGGCATGGTGGCGCACACCTGTAATCCCAGCTCTTGGGAGGCTGAGGCAGGAGGATCATTACAAGTTCCAGATCAGCCTGGGCTTCAAAGTGAGCTCAAGGCCAGCCTGAACTGCATAGAGAGACCCTGTCTCAGAAAGACTAAATAAATAAAATAAAATAAAATAAAATAAAATAAAGAGGCTAAGATACCTAAAATATCTGCAAAGGAAATGCAGCTTGTCATCGTTCCCTATCTCTCAAAACATGCATGTCTCGGTCCCACATGTTTCATCTGCACAGACATCCTAGCTGTTCCTGATTTTACAGCTTCCAATTCCTGAAAAGTCAGACCTTACTCCGAATCCCCAAACTTAATTTCTCTACCCTAGGACCAGAGGTTTTTGGTTTTGTTTTTCATATTTGTTTTTGTTTTTTTGTTTTTGTATTGGGAACTGAACTTTACAGGCTACATCCTCAACCTCTTTTATTTTGAGATCATGTCTCAGTAGGCTGCTACATTGCAATCCTCCTGTCTCTGCCTCCCAGAGTGCTAGGATTACAGTACTGTGCTATCATCCCCAGCTGGAAGAGAGGTCTTTTAAAATCAGTTGAGCATGGTCGGGCATAGTGGCCCATGCAGACCTGTAATCCCAGGACTTCAGAGGCTGAGGCGGGGGAATTGCTGCAGCTCAAAGCCAGACTAGGATACATAGTGAGTTCAAGGACAGCCTGAATTACATGGTGAGACCTTGTATCAAAAAACCAAAAAGAAAAAAAATCAGTATCAGTTGGGAATGGTAGTATGGCAGTATACACCTGTAATCCCAGCGACTCAGGAGACTGAGGCAGGAGAATCAAAATTCAAAGTCAGCCTGGGCAATTTAGCAAGATGCAGTCTCAAAAACAAACAAACAAACAAAAGGTTGGTGTGAGATGGTGGTGCACATCAGTAATCCCAGGACTCTAGGAGGCTGAGGCAGAAAGATCATAACTTTGACCCTGGCCTGGGCAATTTAACTACTTAGTGAGACATTATCTCAAAATAGAAATAGAAAAAGGGCTGGAGATGTAGCTCTGTGTAAAAACCTTGGGTTTAACCCCTGGTACCGAAAAAAAAAATAGTTGGTCATGTAGCTCAGTAATAGAGTGCTTACCTAGCATTCACGAGGTTCTGGGTTCAATACCACAAGTACTGCCAAATTAATCAACTAATTAATTACATCACCAGAATGGACATGTCAGAAGAAAAAAAAAACTACTTGAGGTGCTAGCTATTGAACTTATGGCATCGTGTATGCTAGGCAGGTGCTCCACCACTGAGCTACATCCCTAGTCTTTCTAAAATTTTTGTTTTGAGACAGGGTCTAAGTTGATCAGGACAGCCTGGAAGTCAGGATTTGCCTATAGGAATGTGCCAGGCATGCCCAGCTCGGACAAAATTCTTATCTTCATTTGTGTAGTGCTTGGCCCCAGAGATAGCACCACACCCTCTCTCTCTCCCTGCTTCTTTCCCTCCCTCCCCTCCCTTTCCCTCTATTCCTTCCTTCCTTTCTTCCCTCCCTCCTCCCCTCCACAAGGACCATGTGAGGCACAGTAGATCTGGTCGGCTGTTCCTCACCTTGATGATAGTGGCAAAATATTCTCCATTAATGTAGTTGTCCGTCTTCAGGTAGAGGTCCCGAAGCTCGCTCGCTCCCACAGGATTGTATTTGTCATTGAATTTATCAAAACGCTGGAATGTCTGGCGACCCTGCATCAGGAAACAGGAGCAGAAGGATGTGATTAGCAGAGCTGACTGGACACAGAGTGCTAGCCAAGCCGAACGGGGCTGGAGATGGGGAAGGGGCTGGGCTCTGAGGATGAAATCTGGGACCGCTGGCAGTGAGTGGGCCTCCAGATCGCCCGAGGTGCTTCCAGCCAGCATAGTCAAGGAGGAGAGGGGAGGGCTTGCCGGAAAAGACACCGGGGCTTCTATGTATTAGAGTGAAACTAACATTATTCTTTTCAACCTACAGCATGAACGTCCAGAGAATCCACGGTCAGGTCATACGGGTGCATTTTCAATTTGTCAAAAAGCCCCTTTAAGGTCAGAGTCTTCTCTTTGGTGCTATAGACCACTCTGTCCGCATCAATGTGGTACGACTTTTTAATAAAGCGCAGCAGATGTTTCTGGTTCATGCAAGCAGCTGCGTGGATGTGGGTGTCCACCTGTGTGCACATTCAGAGAAAGAAAACGCAGCAATTAGCCCCAGTTATACTACTCTGTTAGAAGCCACGGGGTCTGCAGATCCCACTGTGGCGGGAGAAAGGAGCAAATAACAGGGTGTGAGCTGACAGCGGGTGCAGATGAGACCCTTCAGGTGCTTGTCAGTGCAAGAGTGAGAACAGTTTGGGTAGACGCCATGATAACGTTTGCTTCCCCTGTATATAGGTATATCCAAACACTTCCTACAATTCACGCAGACAAGATTTTTGGGGACTGTCCTACATCCTAGAAATACAATTAAAAGTAATGTAGCTATTACAGCTTTCAACCCACAAAAAAGATAGGACTGAAATTGTGAAACTGTGGCACAGAGATGACAATTATCAGGTAGATATTTTTATAAATGCAATTTTATAAAATGAATTTTTAAACAATAACAAATGCTGGTGGGACTGTGGGTAAAAAGGAAACTTTCTCCACTGTGGCTGGGAGTGTAGACTGGTGCAACCACAGTGGAAATCAGTGTGGAGATTCCTCAAAAAACTAAAACTAGAGGTTTCATTTGACTCAGCTAGTCCCCTTCTTGGTATCTTCCCAAAAGAATTAAAAACATCATACCACAGTGATACATGCATACTCATGTTTGTAGTGGCACAGTTTGTAATAGCTAAATCTGGGAATAGGTTAATCTAATCCGTTAACCAATGATTGGGTAAAGAAGATGTGTTTTTTTTTCAGTGGAGTACTACTCTGCCATAAAAAGGATAAGCTTGAGACAATTCTAGGTAAATGGATACACCTTGAGACCACACTCTTAAGTGAAATAAACTTGACACACATGTTTAAGTACTGTGTTGTTTCTCAGGTGTGAAAAACAAGGCTTTTGTAAATAAGGAGGGGAAGAGAGGTTGAAAGGAGGGAGGGGAACAGGAAAAAAGAAGGAGCAAAATACATCATGTACAGGTACAGATTCCCTATGATGAATGTTATCATTACATATATCTAAAATGGATCAATAACATTTTTAAAAACACAAAAAATTATTGAAGTCGACATAGAAAAAAATAAAAAAATTTTTGAATTTTGGTTTGCCCAAAATTAGGCAGCTGATCTGGGAGTTGGGTCTGAATTTTTCCTCAGGTACTGTATTTCCTGTTCCTACTTCCTTGTAATCATTTGCAAGTGTTTCTAGTTGACTGATTTTCATACTCATTAGCTTATTTAGTATTTATGATCTTCATTTTTTTTTTTTTTTTTTTTTGAGACAGGCTCTCACTATGTAGCCCAGGCTGGCCTTGAACTCACGGCTATCGTCCTGCCTCAGCCTCCTGAGTGCTGGGATTACAGGCATGCACCACCATGCCTGACTATAATCTTTAATTTTACAAGTGAGGATGCTAGAACTCAAATGTATTTAATCACCTCCCCTGAAGTTTTATAGTCAAGAAGCAGAAGGAAAAAAAACTAGAACAAAGGCCTTCCAACTCCTAGAATAGTCATTCTCAAGGCTTTGTTTTCCTTGTTTTTATTGTTGATGGTAATTAAATTTTTTGTAGAAGTGCTGGAGATTGAACTCAGTTCTTTGCATATAGTAGATGAGTGCTCTACCTTGAGCTATCACCAAACCTGACAACTATAATTTTTTATGTCTAGAATATGATAAATCTTTCCCTGGAGCAAACAATAGATGTGACATTTTTAATCTTTCTGCTTTAACTAAAATCCACTACACTTTCAAAAATTTTAGATTTATCAGAAAGCACTGTTCTTCTTTTCCTTCTTGAGAAATTGCTGAATTAATGTTTTTGATGAGAAATGACCTCCAAGAAGCACCAATACTTACCTTTCTGCAGTTATAAAAATCTCGGTGGGGGTTGTTCTTCAGCTCCTTTAGCTCATCCATCTCATTGAGCATTTGATGGACCTGAAACTTGGACAGGAGGAACTTCAGGCGCCGGTGGGAATAAGTCTTTCTGTGAAAAATAAAATTACATAATTCTAAAAAACTCCACAGCCTTAAGGAAAACAAACATAACTGCAAAACCATCAGGACCCTTGTCACCCACAGGAAACAATTATTAGAATGAATGAAGGTTTCAGGTACCTCTTCAGTTAATCTCATTGAGTACTGAAGTCCAATATTTCATCAAAATTAGATTCTTAAAAAGTTAGATATAATAGTAACAAGGGTTTGAGATGGCACTTAAAAAAAATCAGTGGAGCCGGGCATGGTGGCACAGGCCTGTAATCCCAGTACTCAGGAGGCTGAGGATTGCTGTGAATTTGAGGCCCACCTGGACTACACAGTGAGTTGAAGGCTCATCTGAACCGCATAGTGAGACAGCCTGAACTACATGGCGAGACAGCAAAAGAAAAAAAGAAGAGGCTGGGGATGTGGCTCTGTGAAGGAGCTTTTGCCTTGCAGGTGCAAGGCCCTGGGTTCGATCTCCAGCACCACCAAAAAAAAAAAAAAAAAAAAAAAAATCACTGGAGAGGCAGCCTCCTTCAAAATTAAGGGCCCTGGCTGGGAGTGGTGGCACATGCCTATAATGCCAGCACTTGGGAGGCTGAGGCAGGAGGATCATCATGATTTTGAGGCCAGCCTGAACTACATAGTGAGTTTGAAGCAAGCCTGGACTACATAGTGAGTTTGAGGCCAACCTGTGCTACAAAACAAGACAGAAAAAAAGTGAAGGGCCCTGGTTTGAGTCAGCAGATTTGGGCTTGAATCCTGGTCCAACCGGCTGTGTGACTTTGGGCAAGTTACTTAACTTGCCAAAGTTTCAGCTCATAACACTGTAATTATGAAAATATTCATGGAGCAATCTTAAAAAGTAGAAGAAACAATGTCCATGAAGGGTTTAGGGTAGCATGTGAATGTAGTGAGCACTTAATGTACACTCTTACTATCAGGAGTAGCACTGACAGTGTTTACCTCTCATGAAACACTTACACAGGTCCTTGGGCAATTAAAGCAAGCAAAAAATTCATATCGTCTAGGAAGGCATCCAGATTTGGGTAAGGGTATGGCTTGGGCTCATCTTTGCTGGCAGCGGCTTCATTAGGATAGATGTACACTACACCGTCCTTCATGTGGAGGTGATAGCCCAGGTTTTCAGGAAGGTTATCTGTTCTGAAGGGGTCTTCTCCCTTCTTCGGGGGAGGGGTAAAGACTTTCTCAACAAAACACAGAATAATATGTCAGTACATAAGATGAATGACCACGTAAAAACAACCAAAATGTGAAACACTGCAAAATCCTATTAGTTTGGCATTTTATACTTCAGAAGTTGTAATTATGCAACTTAATTTATCTATTAAATAAAGTTTATTTCACATTAATTTTTCACAGGTGACTACATTCATAGTATAAAATAACTGTAGCAATAATATTTTAAGCTAGGTATGGTGGCATTTGACTATCACCTTTGTACTTGGGAGGCCGAGGCAAAAGGATAGAGAGTTCAAGGTTGGCCTGGAGTACATAATGAGACCCTATCTCAAAAAAGCAGACAACAAAACAAAACCAATCATATTTTGTCTAGTATAAGAATGATTTGCAAGTTTTTTAGATGTACTGCTTATATAAAATAATTGATATACTACACATAAATAATTTTAATTTTTTTACTGAAGTTGGTTATCACAGGTTTTTTAAGAGCAGTGTGTGTGTGTGTGTGTGTGTGTGTGTGTGTGTGTATGTTACAGGGATCAAACTCAGGGGTGTGTTGACCCTGAGCTACAACCCCAGACTCTTTTTATTTTTTATTTTGAGACAGGGTCTCACTAAGCTGCCCAGGAAGGATTTGAACTTGTGATCCTCTTGCCTTAGCCTCCTAAAATGCTGGGATTGCAGGTGTGTCCCACTCCACCAGGCTTTTTTAGAGCATTTAATTAGCGTATTAAATAATTGTGTAGAGGTGGGTGTTTGCTGGCCCACACCTATAGTCCTAGTTACTTAGGAGGCTGAGATAGGAAGATTTCTTGAGCCAGGGGCTCAAGACCACTCTGGGAAATATAGCAAGACCACATGTCAAAACAAATAACCAATTGCATAAAAGCAAAGGTAAAATTAGTTAAAAATAGAGTTTGCATGTTTTCCTTATTTAAACCAGCCTCCTTTATTAATCTTAGAGTATTTCCTTAAACAGACTTTTAATTTTTTTTTTTTTGATTTTTGAGACAGACTGGCCTTGAACTCACTATGTAGCCTGGGCTGGCCTCGCAGTCTTGGCGATCCTCTGCCTCAGCCTCCTGAGTGCTGGGATTTAATTTACTTTTTGTCCTTATTTTTTTATTAGCACATGTCTGCGTACATGAGTACATTCATTGTTGAGACTTTGTATTTATACGTATAAGACTGTAATGCTTCTTTACTTCCTCTTCCTCTCCCCTCTCTCTGTCTCCCGACCCCTAAGTCCCCTTTTCCCATCTTCACAAAGTCTCCCTTCCTATTTCCTTTTTTTTTTTTTTTTTTTGGTACCAGGAATGAAACTCACGACCTCACGCTTGCTGGGCAGGTGCTGTGCCGCGGAGCTACATCCCCGGCCCTCCCTTCCTATTTCCTATCATCTGTCTTTTATTTTGCTCTTTACATTTTTTATACCTTGGGATTCTCATGTGAGAAATCATGCTATATCTGTCCTTCTGTGTCTGGCTTATTTAAAAAACTGAAAATAGTACTCACATTTGACTCAGTTGCACAAAAGAGTTAAAGAAGACATATTACACCATACATGCACACCCGTGTTTATAGCAGCACAACCGCAAAAGTTAAATCTTGAGCACAGCCTATATGCCCACCAGCAGGTGACTGGATAACAAAAAAGGGGTATTCAGTTGGGTGTGGTCACTCACACCTATCACCAGCCCTTGGGAGGCTGGGCAGGAGGATCACTCCAACTTTGAGGACAGCGTGGGCTACATAGTGAGTTCAAGGCACTATACAGCAAGACTCTACCTCAAAAAAAAATTTTTTTTAAAAAAGTGTAGTGTTTATAGACAAAGGAGTACAACTTGACCATAAAGAAAGATAAATCTGAGTCATTTGTAGGAAAATGGATGCATCTTAAACAGATGGGACTAATTTTAGCTTAACAGAAGAATTGAGTGAAAAGTCTCAATTCCATGTACCCTCTCAAATACAAAACGACCTCCACTACTGGCATCCGGCATCAGAGCGCTGTATTTGTTATAACTGATGAACCTATGTTGACTCATCATGATTATTCAAGCTCATTGTTTGTATTATGACTCACTCTTGGTTTTTGTACATCCTATGGGTTTTGACAAGGTATAAAGACAAGAATTTTCCCTACAGTATCATACAGAGTAGTTTCACTTCCCTAAATATCCTCTGTGCTCCACCTATAATGGTTTTAATATAAAGGCAGATATAAAACTTTATGTCAAGAATTATAATTTAATTATGACTACATTTTCTATCTCTTACAGCATACACAGTTTCTGCTAAAGGAACTGAAAAAGAATTAAGTGGGTAAGTGTTTCCTTATTTCCACAACTAATAATTTCAGCTTAAGGTCAAGGGCAGTCCCCGTTATCAGGACTTTTCA